TTTTTTTCTGATGCATGGGAAAAACTTCAAAACAGTTAAAGGGATGAAGAAGTGGAATTCCTTCTCCCTGGATCTTCAGACAAAGACCAGGGCACCGCATGTTAGGAATATGCTGTGGGGAGTCCCTCCATCTCAGAGAATTTATTATCAATAAACACAAATATCTCTCTTTGCTCCTAAAATACAGATGAGACACATATTTTGTGTAACTTTTTTATTTCAATAAGCGTTAACTTTCTCTCCCTCTCCCCTTCTTTTCCACATGGAAAGGAGAATATAAAAAACAAACAAAACCTTTCTAACAAATATATATAGTTAAGCAAAACAAACTGCTGCGCTGGCCATGTCCAGAAATGTATGTCTGCATCTTGACAGACCAGACTTTGAAGGTGATGTTTCTGTATTCTCTTTCCAAATTTTCTAATCCCTTCTCCTTCCCACAATTTCCAGAAAGACGTTGAAAACAGCAGGGAAATGTCAACTGGAGGAAGTTAATAAATTAACTAGAACATTGCCTGTCATAGTTTAATATCAACAATAATACTAGTAATAAAACATTTTGAAGACACTGAATAAAATAGGCATTACTTGTCCCAGGCAACCATCCCAGCCTTCTCAAGGGACAGATTATTACAGTTCCCTCCTAAATATTAGTCTGCACGTCAGCTCGGAGGGCATCTCTAAAAGGTGTTAAATACTTAATAGTATTTTGTATAGGGACCTCTGTCTATGGGATTGCTATAGGGGAAGTAATCATTTCTAGAAAAGGTGCTAAACACTCATTAGCAGTTTTAGTCTGCTTCAGGGCCAGTTTCAGAAGGAGAAAATGAAGATATTTACTAAACGTTAATGGGCAAATACTGTGTATTTGGGGAAATGCCAAGAAAATTACAGGAACTATAATCAATTAGCTACTTTTAGCTACCATTTGCTAATTTTCAAATAGAAAATTTGATGGGTCCAGAAAAGGTGCGGTTTTTAGGAAAATGTAAGTTGCAATAATAGAAATAAGGGATTTCACTGAATTGAGATTCTATCAAGATGGTAGAATTAGGGGTAGTAAGGAGTTAATGAAAGATACCACCAGTTAGTGTGATTTAAAAATGCAAACAAAAAGTAGGAATTAAAAATAGTTGTCATATAGTTGGAATAAAGAACAGATTCACTTTCCAAGAAATAACAATTCATTGTCTTCTAGGAGGCCAGGATGTCTCTGAAGCCTTGTAGGAGATTTTCCTCTTCTCTTGGGTGGGCCCAGAATTAGCCAGAGTATTTTCTAGTTTAGGTTTAGAATCAAACTAAGTTCCTACAGACCTGTCCTACAGGGATAAAATGAGAGAAGACTTGGCCCCCTGGGCCCATCCAAACCATCTGGGTTTAGTCTGATCTGGGTGGATAACTGCTATAAACTTTACTGAGTTACCTGCCCTATGGGCTTTGCCTCATTGGAAGCCATCCTGAAAGATATACAGTGTTTTCTTTTGGTTGTGCTGTCTAGCAGGAATGAGGGCCTTAATGACTGGCGTTCCATTAAAAAAAAGTTTTTAAAATAAATAAATATTTTGAAGAAATATGCGATTGTTTTCTCTTAAGGATTGGGCCAATAATATAGGCTGAAGCATTAAAATTTTAGAATGCCAGGTTTCCTGAATAGAAAAAAAGCGTAGGTGAGAAATGATGCTGGTTACCAACTACACAGTTTTCTTAACTGTCACAGAGATGGTTTAGATTGACATGATAAATAGAAAGGACAAGAGAAAGATCATTGAGAAAGTGTTATAGACTCCTGGACAAGAGTGAAAAAGAAATGAAAAATATTAATGCAGCTAAAATAGGCCCATTGAAAAGATGGGACATTGATCACAAAGAAGTACATGTAACCTGGTATTGACTGGTGAGTATATTACAAAGAAAGGAAGCAATTTTCCCTGAGCAGGTATGGTTTACATGCTAGTGAGGCTGCATTCCTGAGGAAAACTTAAAGAAATTGGGCCTCTTCCCTGGAACAAAAGGAAATCATAACTACCTAATCACAGCTTTCGTTAGACATTGATGGTAGGATAAAATATCCTCCTAGTCAAAAGGGAAAGTTATACAAAAAATGTTTATATTCTTTAAGAACTAAACTACTTTGCCTCAAATTATTGTACTCATTTGCTCCATTCCCTTCCTTTCCCACCACTCCTGCTGGAAACCCCTCCCCCCCCAAAAAAATCCCTGCTGTCCTCTCCTACTGTCTACTTTTGGGCTAGTAGTACAAAATAACATGAGATGGGGAGGTAGCTTTCTGGAAAGGGTGTTGGATTTGGAATCAGGAAGATCTGAATTTGAACGATACTTACTAGCTGTGTGACTCTGGGCATGTCCCTTTCCTGCTCTCATCCTTAGCTTCCTGGTCTATAAAATGCAGATAACAGTATCTATCTCACCGGGCTGTTATGAGGTTCAAGAAAAATGACATGTACCTTCAATTCACTCATCCTCTTCCCCAGTAATTTCAGAGCCAGACTGAAAAACCTTAATTCTTGAGTCTCTTAGTTCCTCAGCCTCTTAAACTCTCATGGCCTCTAACTTCGGTCTACCACAACCACACACAAAAGCATTCAACACTTAGAGACTAAAGTGGTTTGTCATTTCCTTCTCCAAGTGATTTTATAGATAAGGAAACTGAGGCAAACAGGGTTAAGTGACTTGGCCACGGTCAAAGAGCTAGTAAGTGTCTGAGGCCAGATTTCAATTCACAAAAATGTGTATGAAGGACAGCAACCACACAGAAGAATCCTACCCCCTTAGCTGATTGATGCTTTTAGCTTTATTTGCAGGGGAAATCCATCCCTATCATCTTAGTGCAGCAAGTATTCACTGACAATGGAGTCTGGCTTGTCCCTGGAAAGATGGTTTTGTTACAGAAATAGATCAAGTTAGCATCTTTATAAAAATTATTCAAAACAAATATCCATGAAGACACTACTGACATGCATTGAAAGAGGACAGCAGGATCCTTCTACTAGGGCCCTGCTGTGTATTCTTTCTTTCATCTTAATTCCAAATCCCTTGGAGAGTGTAGTTATCTTTCACATATTTTCCTCTGCTCATAATTACTTACTTGTGGGGTTCATAGTTTGGCTCTTGCGAAAGAGAAAAGCAATAATAGCTACTGGTATTTTTCATATGTGTTGACTTGAGTAGAGATGATGGCTTAGCTCTACACCTCTATCTTTTTTTTCCTCTCCCATCCTTACGTACTTGGGGTGCGCAAAGGGCAGGTCAGATTCCTCTTCTCTTAGGCAAGGAAGTACCTTGAAAGGTTAGTTATTCGAAAGCGCTTCACAACTTTTATAGAAGGTTTGATGTTTTTCAAAGGAAAACCAATTCCAATGTGTAAAAAATTGCCTTTTGGTTTTAGAAAGAGAAAAGAGGATGACATTATGGTTTCACAAACCAGAAGCAAAATGCACCTTCAAAATAAATGTTCAAAAAGCAGGTGAAAAAGCCCACCCTTCTCCAATCCCTTGGACAAATCTTTGAACTGGGTCCTTTTGACCTACAAAAGAGTCTTATCTTCATTGGCTTCGTAGTTCCAAGGTCTGCCATCTTTTTGCTCATTTCTTCTAAGATGCAATCCACTTCCTCTCTTCAGCTTCTTCTTCCACTAGAACCAATATCATCATCCTTTACAAATAATACTTTACTCATACAAAAATGAATACCTCACCCTACTTTCTTCTTGATATGGCTTACCTCAAACTATCAACAACATCATTATCATTCAATAATATGCTAAAGAACTTTTCTATTTTAACAAGTAACCAAAAATTTAAGACACTTACTAGTTTCGGGATGAAGTAAAGCTGCAGATGGATCTGAAATTCTTCTAAAATTTTTTCCCTTTCCTTATTCCTAATAGATTATACAATGGCACCGATTAGCAGCAGCATTTTGAAATACCACTTAAGGCTTTATCACAGTGGAGTCCCGCCAGTAATAGTCTTTAATTCACTTATATGTGCCAATTCATCTCTGTCAGGATCCTATTAATTTCCTCCCTGTTTTACTCTGTCCCTAGCCCCTATATAATGAGGCACCGTGCTCCCCATTTATGTAACCAAAAAAATTAAAATCTCTTGTAAATGACTTCTGATCTACTGCTTTTAGTGACCAAGCTGCCTCCCCACTTCCTCTTCATGTTTAATTCATTCTCTGCAAGCTCATTTCTCTAGAAGACTACAGGAAGATCAAGCAGCCAAATGGTGAACTCATAGGAAAAGTGTGGGAATTCAGGTTAACTGTTTTAACCTTTGGTCCTGCATTGAGGAATACTTTCCAGACTATTATACCTAAGACACACTCTTCACACAAACACAGTCAACACTGAGTGAATGAGCATTAATGAAAACCAACCTCTTAATCTTCAATCATCCCTTTTATCAATGGGCAAGATGTCAAAATACTCACATCATCATCATAATATAGAAAGCTAAGTAGTACAGTAGATAGACCTGGAGTCAAGAAGACCTGAATTCAAATCTGGCATTAGATACTTTCTACTATGTGACCCTACACAAGTCATTTAACTGGTATCTGCCTCAGTTTCCCTATATGTAAAATAGAGATTATAGTAGCAACTACCTCCCTAGGTTGTTGCGAGGATAGCATGCTATAATCTTTGTAAACCACTTTGCAAACCTTAAAGTAGTATAAATATACATATATATATATACACATACATATATATATGCTACATTTGTTATTACCATTATTACATTGTCATAAACCAGAAGACCCTGCAATAAATACAGGGGAGGGCTTTTAAATCAATACTGCAGCTTATGCACCTGGCATTTCTGTTGATGATTATCTAGAATGAAAAGAAAGGTAAACAACTGGAGAAACTGCGAGGGATGAGTACGTATTTGGGGTGATTTTTTTTCTGTGCTGGTATAAAATTACGACTGCTGTATTAAACTCACATCTCTGTTAACTTACTCTGTACTTTTCAGAATTGGAGCAAAACACCAGGAGTTACGAGAAAAGCAGGCAAGAGGGCTTATTGATTATTCCACTGGCCTCATAGGACCCCTTCATGATATGGATGATGATGAAATGGATCCCAATTATGCCCGAGTGAACCATTTCCAGGATACTTACGTACCAGCTGGCGTCTACAGGTCATCATCACCACCAAGCGTCGGTGCACTGGGCTACCCCCGGGATAGCCCCCTACTCTCTCCAGAGAAGGATCACTTGGAAGGGCTTTATGCAAAGATCAACAAGCCTTACCATCCCCAGACTCTTGCTGACAGGTAATGAAACCTTTTGGAAGTTGAAGGTAGTCCTTATTCAGCAGGGTCACAGATGGGCTGTCTGATGTTCAGTGAGAGTGAGAATTGGATGTACTGATGTGGAATTCTAAAAACAAAACAAAAACAAAAACCCTTCAGTTTCCAGAAAGTGATACACAGCGGCTACCCTAGACAAGGGCTGTGTTTTGACTTAACTTGAAGCTGTCAACCATCCAAAAATAAAGCTAACAAATAATAGTAATAAGGCACCATGAATAGACAATAGATGAATTCAGAGAGCAAAGTCCCTGTTGCAAAGAGCTGACAATTTATGCAAGAATATTATGACAGAGCTGATAATGACAAATGTTCAAAGAGCATTGGGGTTTTTTTTCCTCTCAAGAGCCTTACAGTGAAGAGCTTAGACTGAGAGAAGGTGGCATGAAATCTGGAGTAGGCAAATTAAACACAATGAGTGATGAAATGGAAAGCCATTCATTGCAAAGAAGGTAAAGTAAGAGGGGATATTATTCTACAGCAGTGTAACTGAGGGCAAATCAGAGGGCATTGAGGAGCAGTAAGGGAGTTTTGGAAACAAAAAAAATCGATGAATTTCATCCACAATAAGAACAGAACCTGGACAGCTATGCATGGATAATCAAAGATATAAAAGCAGATAATCTTGGTCATAGAATAAGATGATGAAACTAAGGATCATTTGCCTTTAGGAACTAAGGATGTTGAAATAGGAGTGTCATTCTGTGTGCTTGACAGGGAGTAGAATGAAATGAAATTCATTGTCATGTGTAGAGCTGATCCAAGAAAATATTAATCAATCCACATTGTAGGTAGGGCCCCTGAATTTTGCACACACACCAAATAGGTTGACAATCCTTCGTTCCATTTTACTTTGGTGCATTCCAGTGCAGGCTAGGAAGAGAAAAGCAGGGCAGATGGTAGCCCCAAAGAGTGAGCTCTTACTCCAGAGCAAAAAAAAAAAGCCTTGTTTTCCAGATTTCTTTTGGTCCTGACAACCACCCAGTGCCCATTAGTAACCAGGCTTTGTGTGATAGTATGATATATTGCATATGTTTACAGTTTACATTTCCCCAGCTGTGCGATATTATGCACTTTCAATTAGGTTGGGGAGAGGAAAGGAAATCATGGCATTTTTATACAGACTGTAAAGTGTAGCTTCACAAGACTGATTACCTTTCAGAGCCTTTCCAATAACCAAGTGGGAAGGAAGGAGCAATTTTTAATCCTTACTGTCAAGCTTCCAGGTTGATAGTATTAAAGAAAGATGGTCAAGTTTTTCTTTGAGGTAAAAAGAAAATATAAATTTCTGTGACTCAGTGATACAGTCATTAAAACTAGGCTGCTAATTCATAGCCACCCCTTGAATCACCTGTTAAGAGAAAACCATTTTTATTCTCAAGCCATAATAACAAATGGTATTATATAACTACTAGACATGAGAGGGTTCTGGCCAGGGCTGTGGTTGTTAGAATCCTTCCTTAACTCACAGAGGTCACCCCCAAACTGTGTCTAGCCACTGATAGTACTGAAAATGGCCCCTGCCAGAGACCCACTATCCCAGAAAACCTATTATAGTGTAGCCCCTGAGCTATCCGGCCTTCCATGATTGTTTTTCATCTTCCTCATGTATACAGAACTTCTCCTGGAGTTTCTTGAAGGTAATTTTTATTTCATCCTTATTGTCAAACTTCTGGGTTAACGTGAAAACTCATCTTCTTCAACACCATTATTCCCCCAGTGAGGCAAATCATAGATCCAAAGAATCATAATTGCAGGTGATCCCAAAAGCAAGTTAATCATGGAAGCATAATGGACATCAGTAGGCTATAGCATTATTGCTAATGAAAATTTGCTTATGAGAAGTCATGTGGAGGACCTCATCAGGCAAAAGTATGATCAGAAAAGGAGGTAGGCTGGTTATGACTTTGTGCTGGTAACCGCAAGATATTCAGAGGTGTAAGTGAAGGCCTCCAGCACCTAAAAGTATTTCTTATATGAAAGACTTATGGAAGGACATATACAAGGATTCTGTAGGATGAGAAAATGTGAATAGCTTCCAAGGTCCACTGATAGAGGAAGGAGACATAGCCATGAGATTCTTTTTGTTTGTTTGCTTTACTGATGGATTTTGCTTTTATATTACAAACATTTCCAGATTACCCCTACTTTTTGACAGATCTCTTGTACCAAAGTAAAACAATTAAAACGAAAAATAATGAACTCATCTGAAAGTGCTTGCCACCTTCAACATCTGTAGCAAATCCCTCCCAACTTCTATTTTTAATTTTTTTTCAAATGAAGAGAAATCTGTTTTCTCTCCTTCCCGTCTCCCATTCCATTGGGGAAAAAAAGAAAAGAAAATTGCTTTTAACAGATATGCATAGTCAGGCAAACCAGTTCCCTTGTTGTCTGGGTACAAAAATATCTATGTCTCATTCTGCACCTTAAATCTATCACCTCTCTGTCAGGAGGTAAATAGTACATTTCATCATCGATCCTTTGGTATCATGGATGGTCATTGTATTGATCACAGCTCTTACAGCTTACAAAGTGGTTTTGTCTTTATATAATGTCATTGTTATCGTATAAGTTGTTCTGTTTATTTCATTCTTCATCAGTTTATAAAAGACCTTAAAATTGTCCATCTTTATAATGTTGACATTATAGTATAAATTGGTCTTTGACTCTGCTTACTTCCCTCTACATCAGTACATATTAGATCTTTCTATGTCTCTTTGAAATTATCTATTCTCTCATTTCTTACTGCACAGTAGTATTCTGTCACACTCATGTATCTATTCAGCCACTCCTCCTTTAAGGCCGTCCCTTTTGGTTTGTGGACTCTTTTGCTACCACAAAAAGAGCTGATATAGATTTTTTGTGTGAATATAGAAATTTTTCCTGTTTTCTTTTATCTTTTTTGGGTTTAGGCCTAGCAGTGGTGTCACTGGGTTAAGGGGTCCATCAGAGCTTTGAAAACTAATTTTAATTAGCATCCACTCAAGAAACAGATTTTTTAAAAATGCATCCTGTCCAACATAGATTACACACTTGTCTTGGTTTACTTTGACTATTTAAAAAACTAAAGCTAAAACCACTTTAGATAGAGGTTAAAATTCCATTTCACAGGAAACATAAGATCATAGAATTCAGAACCAGTTTTAAATCAGCCTGACCCCTTCTCATGTCACAAATGAGGAAACTGAGGCCTAGAGAAACTATGATTTGACTGAGATCACTAGATTCCCCCAAGTGTTAATTATAATTACACTTAAACTCTGACTTTGCTTGTGTTTGGGTCCTTATCATTTATTTTTAAATGTCATTTTGTATCCACGCTTTGCTCTGTAAGTCTCCCAGTGGCATTTAGCCAAAAAGCGATAAAACTCTAACTTGACTTGGCCATGACTGAATGAATCTAAAAAGGGTGAGTCAGCAAAAAGTGCACACTCAGGAGTAATTGGAGAGGGGGCAAATACCAGAAGGGATCTGCTAGTAGGAATACAGAGCTGCCCCGATTATACCTTGACAGGCTCCATAAGCTACAGGATGGAAAGCTAGTGGCAATGAGTTCTAAATCCACTCTTGCCATATGTATGCAATGTGACTTAAGGCAGTTATATAATTTCCTTGAGTAAAAGTGGTGTAAAATCCCAATTTCTGTGAAGTCAATATACAAAGGAGGTGTTTCTCCTACAGATCAAAGCCATCAAAAGGTAATTAAGCTAAATAAAGTTGACCCAGGCTCAGTTAGATGAAGGGATTTGTCCATTGTTGGGCAGCTAGGTGGCAGTGAATAGAGTACCAGGTCTGGAGTCAGGAAGACCTGAATTCAAATCTGGCCTCAGACAATAAGTAGGTTTGACCCTGGACAAGTTACTTAACCCTATTTGCCTCTGTTCTTCATCTCTAAAATGAGGATGGAGAAGGAAATGGCAAACCCCTCCAGTATCTCTGCCATGAAGACCCCAGATGGGGTTACAAAGAGTTGGACACAACTAATCAACTAAACAAAAAATGTACAAAGCCCTGACCATATCATGTTTCCTAAAATTTTACAACATACAGAAATGATGTAAATACAAAATATAAACACAAACATTATACGAAGAAAATTATTCATTTATAATATAGGTAGTAATACTGTCCCCCAACATCAACTACATTGTAAAACATAGTGCTCTATGTTTTGAATGAGTGAGGAAGAATCAGAAATAAGGTAGATAAGATTAAAAAATCACAGAATTGTAGAGTTACATGGATTATATTCAGGAATCTCCTCTGCCATGTCCGACCAACAGTCATTTAGTCTCATCATGAGCAATTCCAGTGATGGAGAGCTCACTACCTTGTGAAGCATTACAATCCATTTTCGGATGGTTTTAACTGCCAAAAAAAAAAGTCTGTCCTTACACAGGAATTCTTAACCTGGGGCCTCTGAAGTTCTAGTTTTCTCTTCTAATATATTAATAACTATCTCAATATGACACATTTCTTTTATAAGCCTAGGTATTTTATTTTATGCATTTAAAAACATTCTCCAAAGGAGTCTCTAGGCTTCCCCAGACTTTCAAAGGAGTCCATGGCACAAAAATCCTAAGAAGTCCAGCCTGTATTAAGAGAATATCTTTCTTCCTTTACCTTCTGCCTGTGGGACCTAGTTATCCCATCTAGAACAACATAAAATAAATTTAATCATTCTTCCATAGGACAACCTCATAAATATTTAAAGACAAATACCATGCTATTTCAATGAAACAAATATTTATTAAGCTGCAGTATTAGGTGCTGAGGACACAAAAGCAAAAATAAAGCAATGCCTTCCCTCAAGGAGCTTATTGGCTACTAGAGAAAATAAAATATGCATAAAAAGAAGCAAGTTTTAAGGTAATTAGAGGAGAGCATTAACTACTGTGGGGAGGAGAGGAGAGTTTAGCACCAATACTATGGCTTTGAAGGCAAGAGAAGAAAGCTCTGAGAAG